GACAGAATACAGTCTCGTCAAAGGTCGCGATAAATGCCGAAAGATTGGGAGACTTTACTGACCAGAATTCGCGTAGTGGCGGAGCAACAGTTGGCCTTTATCATAACGATAACTTTTTTTCCAGTAGATCGCCTAGCTCCGCCATCGACAGTAGGGAGTTCTGCTGAAGAGAACTGAACGCTGCAGTAATAATGATAAAGCAGCTACCGTTTAGTACTGGTGGCAATGACAGATTTCATAATATACGCCGCAATATGAGCAGTAGGTTGGTGCATCCAGGCCCATTACCAAGTCAGGACCGTGCAGTTCGGGACTCGACTTATTACCGAAACTCCACGGTCAATCTGGTGAGGATGGTTCTCATCAATTAGGATAGACGAAACACCACGCTTGCAAGGCAAGTGCTCGAATACAAGGCCGCATGCATAAAATCTCGCCATTGAATAAAGAACTACTAGTGCCGAAAATCGGTCGTGGCCACGTGGGTTTCTTTAATGCTGTTGATGAACAGGATACCACAAATGAATAACATGCGATAGAGTGGATGCTCAATAAGTGGATGAGGAAACCCTCCTGTTCGCTACCTGTAACAGGAGATAAAAACGCCACTTTTCGGAAAACTAATTCACAAATTTCCCTAAGCAGTGGCTTCTGCTTAACAGCTTCTCGTAAAGTCCGCATTCGACTGCCTATGGCATAATAAAACGCTGACCACGATCAATGGTGAAGGCGGGAGAGGAGTAAGTGGCTGGTACATACCCGGGGCGATTTCAAGAGAAAGTCCCATCCACCCATCTTGGAACTGGACCCAGAGGCGGTCTCCATATTCCGCGCTTTTGTCAGATTGCGCCGAAAACTGGAAGCGGAGCAAATTCGTCGACGCGAAAAAGAGTTTGGCGATCCGCTGACGCCACCAGAGAGTGCAGCCCGCATGATCTGTGGGTGAGGAGGACGCCCCAGATCGCCGTCGCCACCACCTGTCGCCACAGCTGTTATGGAGCCCCGAAGACTAGGCTCTGGGTTGAGCGCGGAAGGTCTGTTCCGCGGGTAGCGGTTGCAAGGACTGCTTTGGTGGGGAAGTTCGTTGCAACTGGCCGAGCGATAGGAGGCAGGTCCGAAAGTTGTCCGTGTGAGTTCAGGTCCGGCGGTGCTAGGGTGATAGCTAGCTTCCGAGCAGAAAGAGGAGAGTGCATGGGGGATGGACTTCTGTTTATCTAAAAAAGACACAAGAATATAACAAACAGGTACGTCTGCGACGCAGGATCCCTGCAAGAGGAGGTCTATCAGAGATAATGTATTTGAAAAGGAAAGGATTCCAAATAGTTACTAATTTTGAAAAAACAACCCAGTTTTTTGAACCAAGGGCGTACGAGGCTTTCATAAACCTGAAAATTACCTCAATAAGCATTCCTGCTGGTGGTGAGGTGCAGGTAGTGAAAAAGAAAAAGCCCAAACTGAGTAAGGACCCACTGATTTCAGATCAAGATGGAGATGCAGTATTTGCAAACGGCAGAGATATCAATGCACGATGTCATGTTAGAATCCCTGGCGGCTTTCCGAGAGCTATTTCTGCGAAAAAAATTATTAATATGTTAACGCATGCCCCTGTGGGGGATCGTTGCCTGAATTTTAGTAAATAATTATGATAGCCAATAGGCATTTTTGCAGATTTTAAATAATTCATTTTGGCCTAACTGTAAAAAATTCGGCGATATCGGTGGAATTTGAACCCTCGAGAGCGACGGGAGGAATTTAGTACAGCCAACGTTCTATCCACCTGAGCTACAGGGCCCCTTGCTGCCGTGGGTTCAAATCCCACCGAGGCCGCCGAGGTTGTCGCAGTTTGGTCAAAATGAATTATTTAAAATCTCCCAAAACACCTGGTAATTACCTGGGCCTATTATCTGGTGGATTATACATGGATTATTTAGAAAATCCTGCTTAGTTATTTAGCTTACTGTATCAGATGGTAGGCAAAATACGCATGAAAGTTTGCGTGGTTTTCTCATAGAGTGTTCGGAAACTATGAAGGTAACGTCTATTTTTTTCAGTAGTTAGGGGATAAATGCGTGCATTTCACAGGAAACGTACTCCAACAAAATTTTCAGCTTTTATCAAAGTTGCCCCACAATAAGACATTTTGCACAATCCTAGGGGCGGTATACGCTACCTCATATTTTGCGCACGAGTTCGCCTTTTCGTAGTCAAGGAGTCGTGCGACATAATGTAGTGGCCGTGGCATTCTGTTGGGGTGCTATAGGCCAGAAGCCTCGGTGCCTGAAAAACCAGTCACCAGTCGGATTCGGGAGGACGGATTGTCCACAAAACAAGCGATTCAATTTACGTGAGTGATCAAACCAAAATACGGCAGTCCTGTCAGCCAAGTTCCAATCTTTGCCTTAAAAGATAGAATAAGAGCTTGAAGTTGCCAATAGTGTGGCCCCGCTGGAATGTGGAGGTAACTACAGGGAGGATTTAAAATATAAATCCAGTATAAGCAGCGTTATTCAAGCAAGATGTCTAGTCTTGAAAAAGGAGCCACGATCGCCGGGACAAGAGCTTTATTAGCCTGACGTTTCGGATTCCTACTCGAATCCATCATCAGAGACAAAAGAGCAGAAAAGGGTAGTTGTTGCACAAGGGGCTGCGGTATTCATAGGCATGCAGCAGCCATGCTGCCGCATGCCTATGAATGTTCACGGCTTCCCCCTTCATCCGGGATTGTTACACTTGGGGTGATCATTGCTT